CATAGGAGCTGTACCATAGACAGCCAGGTCAAACAGCCCATACCCTTTCCAATAAGGCAAATACGGTGGGAGGGTCTATCCCAGTAATACCTCAGTGGGTATTTTCAAATGGAGGTACAGTGGCACAGACCACGCAGGCCAATCATAGGAGCTGTAACAGTGACAGCCAGCTCAAACAGGCAATACCATGCCTGATCAAGCAGCACCTATATTAAGAAAATAAATAGTAGATCAGGCATTAGATGTAATGGAGGGGTTCTCTCCAACGTCCCAGCTGTTACGATGCAGCGTCTCCAAGAGGCTCCAGTGAGGTAGGCAGAACATGTACTGTAAAGAGCGGTAACATCAGTGGCAAATTGCAGTATGTAGCACAAACATCCATATTGGTTTGAGTTTGGGGGACGCCCCTCTAATAAGACACCTGTACCCTGTACTGGTATAAGCCTGTAAGATAAACGAAGGCTGATGGTAGCATGATAAGTATCCATGTTGGGTAGTGTCAAGAGATGGGCTCGCCCTCCAATAAGGGAATCAGAATCCAGTACTGTAATGAACTGCAACGCAAACAGTAAACTGATGGGAACAGTATAAGTATTCATACTGGGCTGTGCATATGAGAGGGGCTTAGTAGCGGGCTGAGCGTATGAGAGGGCCGCACCCTCTAATAATGTAATCAGGATCCATATAAGCATCAGGCTGAGAGTATGAGAGGGCCGCACCCTCTAATCATAAAATTAGTGTCCATATCAGCATCTGGCTGAGTATATGAGAGGGGGTCACCCTCTAAGCATACAAGTTGTATCAATATCAGCATCGGGCTGAGGTTATGGGAGGGCTGCACCCAGGGCTGGACTGGCCCACCGGGATACCGGGAAATTTCCCGGTGGGCCGTCGGCACCTTGGGCCGGGCAGGCAGCTGGCTCACCTCCGGCCACAGAAGGAGCTCTTTTGGCAGCCGCAGGGGGAGCTGGCTGTTCTGTCTCTGCTCCCCCTCCCTCGCGCGCTAGAAAGAGACCGGGGCCGGAATATGACATCATATTCCGGCCCCGGTCTCATTAAGCAGTGCGCTGGGGAGGGGGAGTAGAGACAGAACAGCCAGCTCCCCCTGCGGCCGCCAAAAGAGCTCCCCACAGGTAGAAATTGTGTGTGTCAGTGTGAGTGTATGTGTGTGTGTGTGTGTGTGTGTCTCTGTCTGTGTCATGGTGTGTATGTGTGTCTGTGTCATGGTGTGTGTCTGTCTGTCATGGTGTGTGCGCCTGTCTGTGTCATGCAATGTGTGTCTGTGTTATGGTGTGTGTGTGTGTGTCTGTCATGTAATGTGTGTCTGTCTATGTCACGGTCTGTCTATGGTGTATGTGTGTGTCTGTATGTCATGGTGTGTGTGTGTCTGTCTGTGTCACGGTGTGTGTGTCTGTGTCATGGTCTCTCTGTGTCGTGGTGTGTGTGTGTCTGTCTGTGTCGTGTGTGTGTGTCTGTGTCACGGTCTGTGTGTGTGTCTTTTTTAAGGTGTGTGTCTGTCATGGTATGTGTGTGTCTCTGTCATGGTGTGTGTGTGTGTCTGTCTGTGTCATGGTGTGTCTGTCATGGTGTGTGTTTCTGTCTGTGTCACGTTCTGTCTGTGTCATGGTATGTGTATGTATGTATGCTTTTACTCACCTTTTTTTTTCCCCCACGTCGTGCTGGTCTCCCCTCGACTGACACAGGAAGCACCTCTAGTGACCGTCTGAGTTTCTGTCACTAAGAAGCAATGTAAACACTGCCTTTTCTCTAAAAAGTCAGTGTTTACATTGAAAAGCCTGCAGGGACAGGCTATAGACACCAGAGCCACTACATTAAGCTGTGTGTGTGTGCGCCTGCTAGTGAGTGGGCTTGCTTGTGTGTGTGTGTGTGTGTGTGCCTACTACTGAGTGAGCTTGTGTTTTTATGTCAATGACCTTATGTATATCAGTGAGATTGTTTGTCTATGATGCTGTGTATCAATCAGCTTGTGTCAGTGAGATTGTCTGTGTCTGCATGTGAGTATGCTTACTGTATAATTAAAAATTTTACTCTGAAAGGACCAATATTTTATATTGGAAAAAGCAATATATATATATATATATATATATATATATATCTCAATAATCTAGGGTGGCAAGACATAGCCTTACATATTACATATGACAATATATGGCGCAATGACTTATGGGGTTGGCATAGATTTTTTTTTTCCAGGGCTGCTTTGGAATCCCCAGTCCGGCCCTGGCTGCACCCTCTGATAATATAATCAGAGTCCATATCAGAATCAGGCTGAGTATATGCGAGGGGCTCACCATCTAATAATGTAAATCGTAGCAACTTCAGCATTGGGCTGAGGTCAGGAGAGGGGCCCACCCTCTAATAATGAAATTACTCCCATTATCAATCATATGGGAGGTGGACCCAAACTGGCGATAAACAAAACTGACAGGAGTCAGAATAACAATACTGCCTAGGGCCGTGCCGATGAGTCTAAAAGGGAGTCAGTCTGATACGCTGCAATAACCAGAAAAATAATAAATCTAAAAATGGCTGCCTGGATCTTTTGCAAGTGTGCGGGATCCAAGATGGCCACTGGTAGCCTGAGGAAACGCTGGAGACGTTCTCCGCAATCCACCAGAGCCCAGGAAGTTGGAGGAGGCCAAGGTGAGGCCTCTTGACGTCCCGAGCAGGAGGAAAAAAACGAAAGACACAAAACAAAGAAACAACAGAACTAAAATAAAGTTAAAATAAATGAAAAACGTACATCAGAGGAAAAGTAATATCATGGAAAGGAAAATAAAGGACAGGTAAACTAAATAGGAAATAACAAAAAAATAGATATAACTATAGATATAGTAAGATATAGGATATGCAGCTAAAGACAGAAGAACATAACAGAGAAAAGACCACAAACACAGGATTGCAACGCACCCTGAATACCGAACAAAACTATAACCACATAGGGTCGGGATGGCGCGCCTCGACATAAAAGGTACCCCCAGGCTAGGCTCATCACTTACCAAAGGGGCTCAGCATGCACCACAATGTGTCCTACAGTGAGTAAATATACATTAAACAGACCAAGATATGCCACCTAATGAAAAAATAGTCCCCAACACCATAGGGCAGACATGGGAGTAGATCAGAGAAAAAGAGGGGTAGAGGCCTGAATGGAAGCCTGTGCCCCACGAGGAGTATGAAAGGAAGGGAAAATCCCAGTATAATACAATAACATAAAATCCCACGCAAAGGCAACTTATATAGGGATACAAAAAACACATAAACTATCTCACTTAAATGAATGGAAGGACTTACAAACAGTGTAAGGGAATTCCAAAATACCAACAATCTAACCAAGACGAGTAATACACAGTGCAATGTACATTTGTTTAATGCAGATGGATGGAATAAGTTAACCCATGCAGTGTCTCAATCCTGAACTTTATGACACTGCAGAAGGAGCATTAACCTTTCAGCTATCAGGTTGGCTATAAAGGCCAACTCGGGGATCCCTGGCGCCAGAGGAGAAAGCCAGGGAGCTAATAAATAGCAACACCAGCAACAAAGTGTAAAAACACAATGTGAAAGTGTACCCTTCAAACAAGATACAGATATGAAATAAGTAAATACTTATACATATAGATAGATGGCAGGGAAGTCTTCACAATGCCTATAAAACAAAAACACAAAACATAGTGTATACTGTATAAACAGAGGTGAGTATAGGTTAATAAATGGTTCAACTCACGAATTTCAGAGCCGTGTCAGGCTCTGTATAGTAAGCCTAAGGGTGCCTATATAGGCTAAACACCAGTATCCATGGACCACTGGTATCAGATGGATCACGGGACCAGATAAAGCAGCAGCAGCAGATAAAAGTATAAAAAATTGTTTTATTCAATAAAATATAAAGGTAAACTAATAAAAGATAAAAAACCTTCTCAATGCAGAAACAGACGCGTTTCGACTAAAAAGTATTTTTCAATGTCTCTGTACTGGTCCGGTGTCTTGCTGCTCAAGTATCTTCTTAAATTTTCGTGATCTTCTTCACCTGTGCAGTCCAATCGGGCGTGTGATGTCACTTCCAGATGGCACGGTCCGTGCGTCATTTCCAGTCCGCCAAATAAGACGTCATATGCTTTCACATCCTAGACGTCTTTCGTTTATGAAGTCTGGTGGCCATCTTGATCAAGGGCATAGTGCCCTTTAATTAGTGCATTATATTGTAACACCACTTCAATATATACAAAATCATACTGCATGTTAAAAATTAGTGTGGGAAGGGCAGCGGTCACCCACACTCTTCCCCGCCGCCCTGGCGCACGTGGGCCGCGGCAACCGCCAGTCGCAGCTCAATGGCGCTGAGAAGAGAGGATGCGGCGGGGGAGGGGGATTCTGGTCGTGGGAATCTCGGGGAGAAAAACACGCGGGACCGCCGGAGATAAACTCTGTGGTCCTGGAGCTCGGGAGATCGAAGGGGGCAGCGAGGCATAAGCCCCCGAGACTATCTAACACCCAGAAGCACAAAGAAAATAAGCAAGGAAAACTATCAGCTATTTGACAACAATTACTGATAACAATGCAAAGTACAAAGTGTGAAAAAGTTAATCAAGTCATCCAGAGGAAGGTTAGACAGGCCTAAGAGAAAAATTAGATAGGAAAAACTAGGTAAAAATAACAGAATAAACAAGGGAGAGGAAAGCAAAACAAAACCCCTAAAGTCAATCCACAATTAAAGTAGGCATAAAGTAAAATCCACAGCCACCCACAAGAGCAGGAGGCAGTGGTATTTTGACCTGTACTGATGTGGATCAGCAAAGAAAGAGGAAGTTTTGTGTGAGGAGGGGAGTTTTATTATAGCTAACTTTTTTTTGATTGTTTTTTTTTCTGTATTAATGTGCTGCTGGGGAGTTCTAGTAAAGAGAGACTTAAGCAAATATATGAAGCCTCCTGTCATGTTATAAAATTCACTAAATGTATAAAGTACAGTAGAAAGTCATCAAATTGAATTTGTCTGCTTTTTATTTTCATTTTCTCAACCATTTGTCTGTATTTCTGTCTCTCTCCAGCCATCCATGTTGAGAAACATTTTGTTGTGAGTTTTGAATTATTCTGTGGTTGTCCCTGCAAAACAAATTTAATCATTTCAAAAGGCTTTTAGTGTATCAGGACATTTGGTTCCCTGTAAAACATCCCCCGTTATTACAGAGAAGTTTCATTTCCTAGGAATTGGCTCATGCAGCTTTATTTCTCCAAGTACACAATATGATACTGTGTAATAACCATGTATAATGAACTCCTACGTGACTTCTCATTTTCTGCAATACATGTGTCTTTATATAGCCATTTTACACCCCTAGAGGGAAACAGCCAGGGTGGAGGATATTGTATCTCATTTACACAGTATAAGAACAGAATGTGAAGTGAGATTTCTCGAGAAATGCTAATTATCCCCTTATTTTCTTACATTACAATGTTCTATTTTTCCCCTTATCTGTAACACTGACTGGCTTGTATGTACTATATCACTTACCATATTACACGTGATTAGGTGGACTACATTAATACTGACATTTGGTGGAGGCTCAAACTGTACAGAGTGTGTAATAAAAGAAGAAAGTGGTGTGAGAGTGACTGTACAGATTGGCGAGCCATCTTCAAATTGTATATGTCTATTGAATTGTAGTCACGGATTCTGTTTCTGGGATGAACTTCTGACTTTGATCTGCTCTAGTGTCATTAATAAATTGTGTGTGTAGATATTTACCTTTTTTAAGATCAATTTCTTTTTTTTGTTTAGGTTATCCTTGTTTTATTAAAAAAAAAAAAAAAAAAAAAATTACCTATAATCTATCTCTGGAACAGTGAACTCATTGCTGCTGCTCCCCCTCTAATGAAATCATTAGTTCAGATGACTTTTTTTCATCCAGTTCTGTACACTGAGAAGCACTGGACATGATGACCTTCAAATAACAGAGGTCTGAAGGGAAAGTGTCTGTCCAATGGCCACTAGGAGCATACTTTAAGCAAAATGTACACATTGCTTTTTTTAGAATGTTTTACATTGCCAGACAGAAGGGACAGTTATTTCGGTGCTTAGAGTATCCCTTTTAACTTCTGGGCTGTAATGGTGTGAATGTGGTCCTTAAAATGTGACATTTATTTGCAGCAAATAAAAAATAAAAAAAGTATGGGGTGCCTAGTTTTTCTCATTTAACTGTTACTTTGTCCCAGGGCCGGCCTAATACATTCTGCTGCCTGGGTCCAAGGATGAAATGCTGCCGCTCTCCCTCCCACACCCCAAAACCATGCCACCAAATCATAGTGGAGACAGAGTATGCGTGTATAATGGATGCAGAGAATGTGTAGTGGATGCAGTATGTGTGTTTGTGTAATAGATAAATATATGTAGATGCAGTGTGTGTCTGTGTATGTGCAGGGAAGCAGTGTGTGTGATGGGGATGCAGTCTGTCTGTGTGTGTGTGTGTGTGTGTGTGTGTGTGCTGGGGATGCAGTCTGTGTCTGTTTGTGTGCTGAGGATGCAGTGTGTGCCTGTGTGGGTGCTTGAGATACAATGTGTGGGTGCTGAGGATTGGCTTCCAATGTGCTGCATATTGTGTGTGCACTGCAGCCAATCATGACATTTATCCTTGTTGTGTCCACGGTGGTGGTTCTGACATGAGTGGAGTCTGGACTGACTCCTAGCGGCTTTACTCCTCATGTCCCCACCGCTGCTTGTCCAGTCCTGGCTCCTGCCCCGCTTCTGTGCACATGACTTCTGTGCTGCCCTCCCCCTCCGTATCTGGCTATCTGCCGCTTCAACCTGGGAGGCAGCTTAGCCAGCCCACAGCACTGCCTGCCACAAAGTATAGAACTAAAGTAAACTATTGAAGTTTCGGCACACACGGTGAGTAATGTCACATCACCAGAACTTCAATGAGAAACGTGCATAACCCTGAGTCCCCAGCCAAGTCCAGCTCAGCCTTGTAGCGAAGTACTAGTCCTGACCAGGCCTTGTTCTCAGATGGAAACGTGGTAACTGGAACTCTGGAACAAGGTGCTCTATCCCTCCCCAGCAATTGGACGACACAGTTCTGGGAGTACAACTGAGGTTTTTTGTGCCACACTCCGCTTTTTATGCAGAGAACCCCAGCAAGTGGTCTCCATATAAAACAACACAAACCCCTCCCAGGTGTCCCTGTGTCTGGGAGATAACTGAGTCAAAGACCAGTAACTCAATTATCTCATGGTTACAGGGAACCATACATAAAATATAAGAGTAAAGAAAGGTAATATAATTATTAACCTCCTGAATATATATATATATATATATATATATATATAAAATACCCCATAAATACATTCAAACTACACAGGGAACCTCACAAGTCTTTTATCCATGAATAGCTTGGATCTGAGCACCCATGTTGTCCAAATAGCGCTCAGATTCATTCGATGGAGCGGAATCTCCATTAGGGTAAAGTTCTGACCAGCTGCCGGCCACGGTTCAAAGGAAAAGAGGCAACGGCCAGTCAACTTTCAGGAATTCCTATGCGAACACCAACGAATGCTCCCCATGACTCTTAGGGAGCGAATGCTCCCCCAGTGTAACGAGTGCTTACCTTTCCCCGCCGGTCCCGCGCAGCGCCGGGTCCTCCTCCGATACTTCCGGGGGGCGGCTCAGCTATTCTGACGCTGGCCGCTCGGAACACGCCCACATTTATGACGCGGCGCATGCGCGCCGACGTCAGAGAAAAAATGCCGCCAAAATTCAAACGTGGCCATTCGGACAACCGAACGGAGAGGGGAAAAAGTCTGCTACAAGCCTCTACCTCCCAACCACCCTTATCTATTGCAATTTTGGACAGCCTCCCAGTCTGCCCTGGCCATGGCCCCATCAGAACCTATGGATGGGCCAGCCCTGCTTTGTCCAAAAAGGGTTGGGAATTATTGTCATAGAGTGAGATTCTGATTCTCAAGTAGGGTAGCTATATCCTCTATGTTTCAAGGACACACATTATTTATACATATTGATTGGGATATAATTGCTGTCTAATGGGAATATTCAAATGTTACAGGTAGGAAAAATAAAAGAATACTCTAAGCACCATAACCACTGCAACCTACTGTACTGTATATAGAGCACCAAACAACTTTAACTTAATAAATCAGTTTTTGGTGTAAAGATCATGTCCTTGCAGTCTCACTGCTCAGTCATTTATTAGTTGTAATTATTTTATACAGCACTGGTCACACCTCCCTGCATATGACTTACAAGCCTCCAAATACACTTCCTGTAAAGAGAGATTTAAAGTTTAAACTTCGTATATTGCAAATTCTGTTTAATCTCGAATCTCCTCCTCTGTTAATATCTTGCTAGACACACAGGAGTCTCCTGTGTGTGATAGAAGTTCAAGTTGCAGAGAAGGAGATAAACATGTCTAATGAAACACTGTACTGAACTCACGATCACAGCAGTTACACGTCTGCTGCACTCCATTGGAATGATCCAAATTCAAGAGTCACATAACAGGCATATTTAATACTGCAGGAGGAGAGAGGCATTCGCCAATAGATAGGTTGAAAACTAAAAATCTGATTGAAGCGGAGCCCTAGTTCTAGCAGGGACTTTTCTCCGCCGTATCCACAAGAGTATAATCAGGAACAAGAAAAATGCCAAAGAAATAACCCACCTCCTCCCCAGCAAGTGGACGACACACAGTTCTGAGAGTACAACTGATTTTATTCCTGCCACACACTGCTTTTATGCATTGCCCCTAGCATGGGAGTTCTCAGTCAAAATTACAAGGGTTTCTTTCCCAAGAGCCTTTGTGTTTGGGAGATAATTGAGCTCAAATTAGGATAACTCAATTATCTCTCAAACACAGAAACTTGCATAAATATTTTACAATATCAGTAAAATACATAAAAAATACAGGAACCCCACAAAATTCATATTCCCGAATAGCCCCGATCTGAGTGCACAGCATTTCCAAAAAGCGCTCAGATCGGTTCAGTAAAACTAAAGTTATTGTCAAGCAAAGTTTTAACTGACCAGACACAAGGTGATAGCACAAAACAGTTCCAGAGATTTGGGCAGGAGGGCTGGTCGGCTTTCGGGGGTTACTATGCGAATACCGACAAATGTTCACCCTGGCTGCTATGTAGCGAATGCTCCCCCTGTTCGGTAAATTATAGCTCCCAAAAGAAATTTGTCTAGTTGGTCAGGAAGTGGAACGGCAGCGATACCATCTTTGCCCGCGTGCATCTTCTTCCCAAACCCTCTCTGTTGGTGTCCCCCAAGGTTCAGTCCTTGGTCCCCTACTGTTCTCCATCTATATTGCCTCCCTTGGTAAACTCATCAGCTCTTTTGGCTTCTATTATCATTTCTATGCAGATGACACGCAAATCTACCTGTCCTCTCCTGATCTCTCTCCGCCCATCTTGACTCGTGTCTCTGACTGCCTCTCCGCAATTTCCAATTAGATGGCTGCTCACTTCCTTAAACTCAACCTGTTAAAACAGAACTTCTAGTCTTTCCTCCCTCAAGTGTTGCTACTCCCGTGTCTGTCAACGGCGCCACCATCACCTCTATCTCGCAGGCACGTCTATCCTCTGTCCATGCTCCCACATCTGATGCTCGCCTCCAAGACTTTTCCAGGGCTGCACCTTTTCAGTGTAACTCCTTTCCCTTCTCCATTATACTTTCATCCAGTCTCCACTCCTTCAAAAAATCTTGGGATATAAAAAGACGAACATTTGAACTGATCATCAGCACTGGAAGAAGGCTTACTAAGCCAAAACACGTCTGCTGCATTTTCATACTATTTTAAATAGTTTTTTTATACTCCTGGTTTCTGCTTTTGTGGTGATGAGTGGAACTTTGTCTTTTTATTATTTGTATTCACTTTTAGTTCCACTGTCATTCTACTTTAGTACCTTGAGTTTATATGTTATAATAAAGTTTATTTTGACTATACACCTGGAGTCAAGTCCCATCTTCTACCACCAAACCAGGGGATCTGAAACCAGTATTGGCACCCTCGAGCCTGCTATACAGAGCCTGGTACGGCTCTGAGCCATGTGAGTGGTAGTCCTATATTTTCTTTCCACAAAGTGTTTTAACGGCACACACTATGTTGTCTTTTATTTTTATATTTTCGGTATCTCCTACCACTACATCTGTAATTGGTTGTATTATTGATTATTTATTATACACTTTGTTGCACTGGGATTTGTGTATACACTAATATTTTATCTTGTTAAAAGTAAGGTTTGGCCTTGCCAAGAACACTCATAGCAGTAACTGCACAGAAGCGCAACTATTGACTCAAATGCCTGTAATTTTGATGCTAAATGAAAGAGCATGCCAAATAGTACCTTTTTCAAAATCTAGGTTTTATTTTCAAATTGTAGTTTATCAACCACCATAGTTATGAATTTCCTCTCCATCCTATCAGATGGTCTGAAGTATCAGTAAATGGAAATAATATCTATGCACTAAAAGGGCTGTAGAACAAGGGACTTTCGGAATAAAGGAAATGAAATGAGTAATTTCCTTCATGTAAAAAAGGGGAATTCCTCCTATGTTCACAATGCGTTCTAAGTGAACCAACCACGGATACTATAATGTCTGCAGGACATTCCATTGGTGTAAGATAACACCATTTAAAGCTAAGTGCTTAAAGTAACTACTGAAGATGTTTCCATTAGCATTATTTATGTAATCACAGAACTAGCTGTAAGTCTATAAATAACTGTAAGAAACCTCTAGTATATATTTTATAAGTGATACTATTTAAAATGTTAAACCATTTCTTTGGGCCAAAATAGATTCATTGTTTGAGTTGTGGTGAATTGGAAAGGCAATTATAAAGGCAATATAGGAATATAGACAATTTTGAGAATTTTATTCTTATTTTAGATTTAACTTTTACAAACAAACAAACACTTATTACACCTGGATACACCTTTGGAATGATTAAGATAAAACAATGGGTAATGTAAGGCAGAATGGGAGCAATTAATATAGGTAGTTAAAGGGACACTATAGTCACCATAACAACTTTAGTTTAATGAGGCTGTTTTGGTGTATAGATTATGCCCCTGCAGTTTCACTGCTCAATTCTCTGGCGTTTAGGAGTTAAAGCACTTTGTTTATGCAGCACTAGTCACACTTCCCTGCATGTTACGTACACAGCTTTCCTAAACACTTCCTGCAAAGAGTCATTATAATGTTTACACTTCCTTTATTGCAAATTATGTTTATTTTAGAATTTATTATCTCCTCCTCTGTTAATAGCTTGCTAGACCCAGTAGAAGCCTCCTGTATGTAATTAAAGTTTAATTTACAGAGCAGATCATCAAAACTTTTAAAGTAAGTTACATCTCATTGAAAATGAAACCATTTTGTTTTCGTGCAGGCTGTGTCAGTCACAGCCAGGGGAGGTGTGGCTAATCCTGTATAAACAGAAAACAAAGGTGATTTAACTCCTAAATGGCAGAGAATTGACTTTTGAAACTTCAGGGGTATGAGCTGTACACAGAAACTGCTTCATTAAGCTAAAGTTGTTTTGGTGTCTATAGTATTCCTTTACTGATAAGTGGGAACTCGGAATAATCACAACTGATGGTGTTAAAGTGTCCACAGTTGTGCAGTAGCACTCCGTTTGGTCTCAGATGATGACGGCATAACCATCCTCCAAATATTTTATAATCTCATGAATTTCAATCATTTCATTTATGTAGATGTAGTTTTCTTATGCTACTAGAACATATGCAGTATACAGTTCAGCTATATATACTTATAGGATAATTAAAGTACAAATAGCGCCATACAGAATCGGGCAAAACCATCCAGGGCTGTACCAAGGCATTTCAAATGCAAAATCTAAACCTTTTTCACACTATTTATCGATGTCTGGATTTTGCAGAGCAGGCTCCGAATTAGTCTGAATTTGGTCTGGATTTTATCCGGACTGAACGCTGTTAGATGACTAAGAGTTAAATATATTTATATATTACTTCCCCACTATTTGCTTCATAACTGAATTTATTGATTCCCAGTAGGGAACTATAGTGGGGGGCTGTCTCCAGACATGAAACAGAGAGCCCATCGCTCTTCCACAATGCCAACACATGTCTGAGATCTTAGCATTGAATCTCAATAGGATTTACTACCAACTGGGCAGCAGCTTGGTTTCCTGTATGGAGCTGATGGATGCTTTATGAGTTAGTTGATGGATTTTTTACAGTAGCCCAGATCGGTCTCCCATCTTGCAATGAAACCCGGAGGCACAGGGGTGATTAGTGTGAGGAGCAACTAGTATAAGACCGACATGCTCTAAGCTAGTCTTTCCCGAGTATGGCAATAGAATTTGAAAGCAGAGAGCTGCCTGATTCTGGGGAATAGTGATTTCTAGAAGGAAAATGTAATTCTAGAGTTTTAGATGACTCTTCGTCGGTACAAAAAACATATCAGCCCGTTTCGTGATGTCCTAATGGTCGAGTGAAGGCTTCATTTGTACATGAATCTAGATGAATTCTTGACTGTGGGCATGCTTAGATAGCATACAGTGCCTAGGGCAATGATAGAGGAAACAGGAAAGACCCAAGCAACCCTGATAGCACCAAAGCCACTTCAGCTTAATAATCAAATGTCACGATTCGGGGAACCCAACACGCTGGCACACACACACACACACACACACACAAAAGGTGCCGTACCGGACCTTAGAGTGGCCGGGCTAAGCACACACAGAATAGTCAGGAGACAAGCCGAGTAAAGGGGAACCAGAAGACAGAATAACGTGAAACGAGCCTGAGGTCAAAGGGTAGGAGAAAGTCACAGAGTCAGATAAACAAGCCAGAGAGTACGTAACCAGAAGCACAAGGTAAGTAGCAATACTAGCAAGCAAAGACCACAACAGGGCCGGGAGGAACAGGAAAGGTAAGTATTTAAACCATCAGGTTAATTCTAATTGGATAATTTCCAATCAGAATTAACAATCACACGTGGGAGATATTTAGACCTCCCACTGTGATTGAGGCACAGTGCCTTTAACGCCAGGTCAGGTAACTGACCACGGCGTGTATAAACCTGGGCGGTCTCCCAGCGTGCAGCGTCATGCATGCTGCCGCTGGGGGATGTGGAGGGAATGGCGGGCGGCATCCGAGGCTGGAAGGATGCCGCTCGCCGTACCCACGAGGCGGAGGGGACCGCGGACGGCTGGAGGGTGAGTACTGCGAGCGGAGTGCAGCCTCCCCTCGCAGCCGCCCGCGGGAGCCTGACATCATGTTCTTGCAGTCTCACTGCTCAGTTATCTGCCCTTTAGGAATTTAATCACTTTTTTTCTACAGTTTTATCCACACTTTCTCTGGCTGTTAGTCGCACACCCTCCTTACTTAAAAAAGTGGGAGTCCTGGGAGGGGGGAAAGAAGATTGAACGTTCAGAAACAGGGATTAAACATGGATAATGGAGGAAAGGGGATTGTGAATAATATTGAAATGGAAATGTAGAGACAGAAGTGAAAGTAAAGAACAATGACTTGCAACAAGAAGAAAGAGGAACAACTGGAAAACAATTCAAATTAAAAAATATGGATAGAGAGAGTACGACATAAATATGCATCCATAGCACAGTCTTGATAATAACATACAAGCCTGAAATTACCTCTTGCCATATGTAGTCTACTGCTAACCAATCAAAAACAACTTACACAAAAGCCATTATGTAATCATTATCACAACAAAAAGAAGCTCTTTTTAAATGACCTGTAGGGTTTGTGTCCTATTTTCACTCCATGTCACATTTATGCCCCTTGCCTGATCATTTCTTGTCCTGAATTATTATGGACTGGTGTACTTTGGATTCTGTCCCGTGTCTTGTATCTTGTGATCCCTGAGAGAGGTGAAATGTGGTTCCTTCCTTAAGCAGAGTATATTATATGATGTGCTTTCGTGATGCTGCATCAACACCTATAACTATGTTCGGTCATCGGCAGTCTATAATACATTATATGTAAACTTTCTAAACTAAACCGGTTGTGCTCTGTCCTTGCATTTTATTTGCTTTGTGACTCAATGTTTTCTGCCTTGTTGATCACGAAAATTGGTTTACCAGAGAGGTATTGGTTGGATTTGCAGGTGATTTTAGGAGATTAAGTTCCTTTTCTCTGTCTGCATTCTCTAAGCTGGCTGTCAGGTACGTATAACAATTGAACATATAACAATAATTGACAGAGAGCAAAGATGGAGTCACCTAATTACAGGATAAAAAGGGCGAAGTTCTAATTTTAATTTTATTTTTCACACACCTTAATAAAATGAAATACATATTAGTCAAAGGAAAGGAAACAGTTTTTTTTAATATAAATTTACTATATATAAAAATAAAAAATGAGTGAAACATCTCCTTACATTCAGGAAAGGTGCCACTGTTCACACCATACCAAGCAAACTGCCAGGCGTGGACATCACTTCTCAGGGCCTGGCTGGGACTGAACCTAGGTCTTCTTCTTCCAAGTCAGTGATATTACCTAATCACCACTTCTCATGTTTATTCTAGTTCATTTCTCTTGCTATGGTATCTGCATCACTAAGCCTGGACTACTATCACACCTGACCAAGAAATGTATTAGCTACCTTTATAAGCCCTGCCTTGCCACTTCCTCCTGGTCAGATCGATTTGTGACCTGTCTTGGAAACTGTTCAGTTCATCTGACTCCTGCTTTGACCTTTAGAACTGTTTACTGTATTTGCCTTATTTCTGCCTGCCTCGACCATTGGAACCGTACCTGACTACTCTATTGGAATTCCCATGTCTGTTCTGCGTATCCAGGAGTACTTTTCCTGCAAAGCCCCGGTTACATAACCTTGGAGATTTCTTCCTAGAGTCTCCTCGGTTCGTGTTAAACTGCAAGGGTGTGTTTTAACTCATCACTTTGGACTCTCACCTCCAGGTAAGACCCTTACAAAAGGTACTTTATTAAGGGAATATAAGAATGGATCCTTCAGCCATATATATACAGTGTACACCTTGGGTCTGACAGTGTTTGAAAACCGACTGACTCTATTGTCTTCCCTGTTTCTGTGCTGGGAGTAAAGCAGGGAAGACCATAAAAACGTAACTGTTTGTTCTCAAACACTGTCTGACCCAGAGTGTATACTGTGTATATATGTATGTGTATATATAAGATCCTGTTTGTATATTTTTAGTACATTGTTCGTGTTTGACTTGATTCTGTGTATTGGGCCACAGCCCCATCCTAACACTGTCTTATACTAAAGATAGGTTCGAGGTTTTTTATTCCATTTTGTGTATGTATATATATATATATATATATATATATACACATATATATATATATATATATATATATATATATATATATATATACACACACAGAGCCGGCCCGGCGGCTCTGGGGGACCCAGCCGCCTGGGCCCCACGTGTAGCGGCGGAACTGCCGCCGGTGCACTTGCACCAGGGCCCGCACGCTGATGGGGCCTATCGGGTGGCCCATGCACTTAGGGCCAACCGATGGGCCCTATATCTTCAGGGGCCCGGTCAGTGCTGTGGCCATGGTATAGCGCGACTGGGCACCTTTAAAACAAAAACAAAAAACAGCCGCACTTCCTCCCAGCTCACTCCGCGCGGGAGGACCGCAAGCCAGGCAGTGAGGGAGAGCCGTGCCGACTACTCCCATCAGCCCCAGCCACCCTCCTGCAACGAAAAGGAGCTCCTGCAAGGAGCCTATATAACAAAATGGGGGAACTAGAGGCAATAGCATACACTAAACAATATGATATAATAGGCATAACAGAAACATGGTGGGATGAGACACATGACTGGGCAGTTAATTTAAATGGGTATACGTTATTTAGGAAGGATAGGAAAAACAAGAAGGGTGGTGGGGTATGTTTATATGTCAACCGTGAGTTAAAGTCAAATCTTAGGCATGTGGAGTGTGACGAGGAAAAGGTGGAGGCTTTATGGGTAGATATCTGCTTGGGGAAAACAAAGGGAAATCAATTATTGGTTGGGATATGTTATAAACCTCCTAATGTAAATATTAATGAGGAAGAACAGCTGTTAGAGCAAATTGAGAAAGCTGCAAATCGAGGTAACACGTTAATTATTGGAGATTTTAATTATCCAGACATAAATTGGGAAAGAGGGACTAGTACTTCAGCAAGGGGAATCAGGTTTTTGAATGTGTTAAATGACACCTTTATGTCACAACTGGTACAAGCACCAACTAGACAGGATGCTTGTCTGGATCTTGTCATAACAAACAATGTTGATCTTTTAACCAACATTCAAGTAGGGGAGCATTTGGGAAATAGTGATCACAATATGGTAAATTTTGAAATAAACTCAAAAAAGCAAAAGCAGGTGGGGTATACTAAAACATATAATTTTTAAAAAGCCAATTTCAATAAGATTAGGGCAGCTCTACAACATATCGACTGGCATAAACTCCTTAGTGATAAAAACACTGAGGATAAATGGAAACTATTCAAACATAGATTAGAAAGGTACATTTCTCAGTATGTACCATTGGGTAATAAATATAAAAGAAACAAATTAAAACCAATGTGGCTTAGTAGAGAAGTAAAACAAGAGATTAAAAATAAGAAAAGGGCATTTAAAGCATTTAAATCAGACAAATCAAAGGCATCCTATTTAAGATATAAGGAAGCCAATAACACTTGCAAAAAGGCAATTAAAGTGGCTAAACTAGAAAATGAGAAATTGATAGCTAAAGAATGCAAAACCAACCCCCAAAATTTTTTCAAGTACATCAATTCTAAAAAAACAAAAAATGAAAGTGTAGGTACACTTGAAACAGAGTTGGGTTTATTAGCTAATGAAGACCAGGAAAAAGCAGAAATTTTAAATAACTATTTTTCTTCAGTATATATTAATGAGGATCCTATGGCAAGAGATATGCAAATGTTTGCTGCAAAAAACTTGCAAATAACTTGTGACTGGATAACTCGAGACAAGGTGCTACAGCTATTAAAGAAAATTAATGTAAATAAAGCTCCGGGGCCTGACTGTATTCACCCACGAGTACTTAAGGAGCTAAGTGGGGAAATAAGTGAACCTCTGTATTTAATTTTTCAAGATTCTTTTGTTTCAGGTGTTGTACCGGAGGATTGGAGGAAGGCAGATGTTGTTCCTATATTTAAAAAGGGTTCAAAATCCTTGCCTGGAAATTATAGACCTGTGAGCTTAACTTCAGTAACTGGGAAAATATTTGAAGGGCTATTAAGGGATAATATTCAGGAATTCATTGGGAAGAACTTTGTTATTAGCAATAATCAGCATGGTTTTATGAAACATAGGTCATGTCAAACTAACCTAATTGCATTCTACGAAGAAGTAAGTAGAAGTATAGATCAGGGTGTTGCAGTGGATGTGATCTACTTGGACTTTGCCAAGGCATTTGATACGGTTCCTCACAATAGGTTAGTCTTCAAACTAAAAGAAATTGGTCTAGATGAATATTCCTGTTCTTGGGTAGAACATTGGCTTAAGGACAGAGTACAACGAGTTGTCATTAATGGTAAATTTTCAGGCTGGACAAAAGTGGTAAGTGGTGTCCCTCAGGGTTCTGTTTTGGGACCACTTCTATTTAACATATTTATAAATGATCTTGAAATAGGCATTGAAAGCCATGTATCAGTGTTTGCAGATGACACAAAACTTTGTAAAGTAATAAAATGTGAGCAGGATATTGCTTTGTTGCAGAGAGATTTGGATAGATTGGGGGACTGGGCACTAAAATGGCAGATGAAATTTAACATAGAAAAATGCAAAGTTATGCACTTCGGGGTTAAGAATGCACAAGCAACTTACACACTAAATGGTAGTGAATTAGGGATAACCACACACGAGAAGGATTTGGGCATTGTTATAGACAACAAATTAGGCAGCAATATGCAATGTCAATCTGCAGTTGCTAAGGCCAGTAAGATTTTGTCATGTATAAATAGGGGCATAAATTCTCGGGATGAAAATATAATTTTGCCTCTTTATAAATCGCTGGTAAGACCACACCTTGAATATGCTGTGCAATTTTGGGCGCCTGTTCTAAAGAAGGATATCATGGCACTGGAGAGGGTCCAGAGACGAGCTACAAAATTGATAAAAGGAATGGAGCATTTTAGTTATGAAGAAAGGTTACAAAAATTAAATCTGTTTCGTTTGGAAAAACGGCGCCTGAGAGGGGATATGATAACTTTATACAAATATATTCGGGGCCAGTACAAACCTTTATCTGGAAATCTATTCATAAACAGGGTTATACATAGGACACGAGGTCACACATTTAGGCTGGAAGAAAGGAGATTTCATCTAAGGCAAAGAAAAGGTTTTTTTACAGTAAGAACAATAAGGATATGGAATTCTCTGCCTGAAGAGGTGGTTTTGTCAGAGTCCATACAGATGTTTAAACTGAAATTGGATAAATACTTACAAAAACATAACATACAGGGATATAATTTCTAATTAGTGGGTAATAGCTGATTGATCCAAGGAGACATCTGACTGCTATTTTGGGGTCAAGAAGGAATTTTTTCCTAGTTTGTGGCAAAATTGGAAGTGCTTCAGACCAGGTTTTTTTGCCTTCTTTTGGATCAACAGCAACAACATTTCTGAGGAAGGCTGAACTTGATGGACGCAAGTCTCTTTTCAGCTATGTAACTATGTAAAAGGTAAGAAACAGGAGGGTGGCTGGAAAATGAGCTCTGTGTGTGTGTATGTCTATGTGTGTATGTCTATGTATGTATGTCTGTATGTCTGTATGCGTGTATGTTTGTATGTATGTCTGTATGCATGCATGTCTGTATGGCATTATGAATGTATATCTGTATGTCTGTCAGTATGTATGTTATTATGTATGTCATTATGA